TAATAATAATAATAATAATAATAATAATAATAATAAAGTCTATGGATTCACCTCCTTGTCCAGATCGTCCAGTGGCTCCTGGATTTTGTCCCAGTCTCTTCCCTCAGGAGCTTCCCTCTTGGCCAGAATGTCATCAATCTCCTTCTGCAGGTCGTTGTTCTTTTCTTGCAGATCTTTAACTCTATCCAGATAGCCTCTCAGACGATTGTTCAGACCCTGCAGATCCCGCTTGTTCTCTGTGTTGATGGGAGTTTCTGCAGGAGGCTCTGAACTGCTGAGCGGAGCAGCAGTGACTGGAGTAATCGGAGCTGAGTCTTTCTCGGTGTCGTTGCGCAGGAAGTTGCGGAGTCCCTGCGGGCTGGACACGGACGCCTTGGTGCCCCTTCCCCCGGCTCCTCCAAACACACTGGCGCTGCTGTTACGAGACATGCTTTCTGCTGGATGACAGTGAACTGAGAGACTCAGAGACTGGATGGAAATGATGGAGGTGAGTTTTATAGCAGCTGTCTGCCACCATATCCGCCCACATCAAAGACTTGGGCTCCTGGATCCAATCCTCTCTCTTGACAAACAGGTTCTGGGCTGAAATTCAAGTATTTCAAGTTGAGTTCTTCAGAAATTCTGTACTTGTTCTGTTATGATTGGACACCTGCAAAGCATCCGGGTAGGTCTACAGGTCCGTTGGTCTTTATAAGGGATCTCTGAGGTGGGATCTCCACTCACCTGCTCCTTCAGGCTCCAGCAACCATGTCTAGAAACTACAGCAGCCAGTCCGACAGCCCCAACAGCGGGGGGCCCATCAAGAGCAAACCCAGCGAGAAGATCGACTCCTCGGGCAAAAATAATGAGAAAAACGAGATGGTTGGACTGAATGACAAGTTCGTCAAGTTGATTGAAAGGGTCTGTATTTATTTTCTTGAATTATTACATTTCCTTTTCTATTTAACAAATTAGAATATTACTGAAGAGTTCATTGATATAATTTCACAAAGTAAATAAAACATTTTTATATGTGTTATTTATGGTGTTTTCCACTTACAGCTTATAGAAGACAAACCATGATATTTAAGAATTATTTATTTAATTCCCGGCTCCATGTTATAATAATTAAAAGGCTTTTCTGCTTGTATTTTGACAACGATCCTCGTCGGAGGAAAATATTATAAAACCCTGTTTTTCTTTAGTTTTCATGTTTTAAATGTAGTATGACCTGAAAAGAGAAAATATTGGCGTTATATATACGGAATGTATATATATATATATATATATATATATATATATATATATATATATATATATATATATATATGTAATCATATTTAGTTACTATAACACTTATTTTCATATTAGAAGAGTAGGACATAAAAATATTTTTAACTAAATATGATTAAGTAGATGCCGAATATGGTTGCATTAGTTTTTTCAGTCTATATAAACGAAAACTGTAACCCGAGGCCATAAAAAGTCGCTCCCTCTGCCAGGATTTATCATGTTTGGGGAACCAGATCGCCATCTAGTGGTGATTTATTTTAGTATACCAAAATAATTGCCTATTCAGAAGAATTGGAAAGAGGCACAGATACTCTACTACAAAAAAAATAAATAAATCAGTGCCTTGTTGGTATTTAATGAATGTCCCTCTTTTGGTTGTGCTTTAGGTGAAGGACCTGGAGGATGAGAACAGAAAACTTGATAAAAAGCTGGAGATCCTCAAAGGGCAGGATGACTACGATGGTAACTTGGATGCTCTTGTAAGGAAGGAAGAGAATGACCTGCAGCAGAAGATCGAAAATTTGAAAAACGACCAGGAAAATTTAAAAGAACAGCTTGAACACATTTCGCAACAGGTGGACGACGCCAAGGAAAGGTCAGCAGCACCAGTCTTATTCTTTTACTTAAAACTCTAGATCGGGGGTGTCAAACTGGTTCCAGAAAGGGCCGTGTGGCTGCAGGTTTTCTTTCCAACCAGGCAGTAG